CTTTCCATCTCCCCCACCAAGCACAGTGTGTGCCCTCCATGTATCCCTTATTGACCTCACCAACAAGAGTGGACCAATCCCACGCAGAGTCGATGCACCCCGCAACCACATCAGAAGAAAGGGGCTTATTTAATTGATCATCTTGATATTCGACATTCATGTGACATGCGGCAAAAGCAGCAAACACTCCACCAGCACTGACAAGAGATGGGGAAACAAATGAATCCCTCGTCGTTTCTGGAGAAGTTCCACCTTTCGGCAGCACCAGCGTCGTCTGAGGCACAAATAGATCGACCCTTTGCAACTCATGAATATTTATTAAATCATTCCTGTCACCTCCCCGCTCCCCCCACAAATGGCGCAGCACATCGACGTCACACAAGAAGCAGCACCACGGAAGCAAACACACGCCGGGAAATGTTGGGCCTCCGCGACTCGCTCTCTCTTCCTTCCCTCCTCCTTCCGCTGGATCCGGTCACGCGGCGACGGTTGTGTGTGCGGGGTGCCTTCACTGCAGCAACACGTGAGAGCATATAAATATGTGTGTGTGTGCTGTTGGTCCTTTCAGTGCCTTCGAATTTCACACAGTAGCGATTCGCGTTTAGTCGTAGCTTCCTAGCGTGACTGTGCCCAAGAAGTGGAGAAGGCGACAACAGCAGCAATACACCAGAAAGGTCAGTGGAGAGCAGAGCAGAGCACCCACGCAGAGAGAGGGACACGAGACAATCCGGAAGGGACGGCACGGAGAACCATCGCACACAGAAAAGAGCATCAACACGGCAAGCCACGGCGGGCCGTCGGTGTGTGCGGGCCAGCCCTCACGCGGTGCAACACGCCACACCCAACAGGGAATGACAGACAGACAGGCGGAGGGAGATGAATGGATGCCGTCAGGAGGCACTCACAATCCACATGGCCCGTGAGCATGCGGCCACTCCACGCAGGAACACAGGAGAAAATGGTGACAAGGGAAAAAAGCAAGAAGCAGCACAAACACACAAAAGAAACAAATTGCGGGCGGGAAAAGCACCGCCACGGTCCTCGCGCTGGCCGGCAACCCCACACCAGCCCTCACACACACACACCATCGCAGTGCTGCCAGTCCGCGGGTGAGAAGATCCGGCCCTCCACACAACAAACGCACACACCGCCAGCAGTCATCCACCAATGGGCGAGGAGAAGCGACACACAGCCACTGTCTCCAGTTCAGTCCCACGGACAACGGGGTACGGCCACAGCCCAGCAGCCAACACAACGCACACGGAGCAAGCAATCGTCCAAAGAGCCACACGCGGAAGCGGATCCTCACCCAGCCATGACGCGGCGACAAAATTTCCAGCCATTACACCCACACTGGGATTCAGTGCCCAACTCAAATAAGTCGCAGGCGGTGCATCACGCCAACAGCAAAATTGACTCGCGGTGTGCGCTCCCTCTCCTCCTTCGAAAATTC